GTGATGCGCGCGCTGGCTGTCTCTCTCTCTTTCTCTCTCTCTCTCTCTCTCTCTCTCTCTCTCTCTCTCTTCTCTCTCTCTCTCTCTCTCTCTCTCTCTCTCTCTCTCTCTCTCTCTTTCCCTCTTCCTTCTTTCTTTTATGCGTGTGCGTGCGTGCGTCTTTATGTAATGTAATGTATGGAAATGGAAGTAAGGATGTCTACCATATAGGCCTATATATTTATGTATGTAGTGCATATCATGTATGTATGTATGTAAAAGTATGAAACGCAAGTAATACAAGTAATGTATGAACATGTAATGATGATACGTGCATAGATATAGGCCTATGTATATATGCATGTATTGAGGTATCTGTGTAGGCCTACATATGGTGAACTGTTCCATGCGTGCGTGTGTGCGCGCCTGTGCTTGCGAGGGAGAGCGAGACGGAAGCACGGAGGCAAAGCACAGCGAGGGGCGAGCGGCCGCGGCGCGCGCGCGTGCATCCAGGTTATTGCGTGGTTCTGCCGTTTTTGGCGGTGGTGCTGCGAGAGTCGGGAGGGCCGGCGCTGCGAGAGGCGGCCAGGGGCTGTGGAGGTCCGCAAGGTCAGGACAGCCGAGGGCCGCTACCACACACGCCACCGACCATCACGCCACCTCGCCCGCCTCCTCCTCCCTTCTCGCCTCCTCTCCTCGCCTCCCTTCCTCTCGCCTCCTTCTCGCCTCCCTCTCCCTCCCTTCTCGCCTCCCTTCTGCCTCTTCTCGCTCCTCGCCTGCCTGCCATACCACGCGGCCTGTCACAGGGCTGGCTGCTGGCCTCGCGGGGCCTCCCTTTCCGTGTACGAGGTCTGCTCTTCTTTTTGTTTCTCTCCTACGCTCTCTCTCTCTCTCTCTCTCTCTCTCTCTCTCTCTCTCTCTCTCTCTCTCTCTCTCTCTCTCTATATATATATTATATATATATATATATATATATATATATATATATATATGCACACACATACATACATATACATATACACATACATATATATCCCTCCTTCCCTCCCCCTCCCTCTCCTCTACTATATAAATCTAAAAATTCCCTCCAGCTCCCCCCCCCCTCCTCCCTCCTCCCCCGGCCAAGCGTCTCCCGGGCGTCTCCTTCCCCGGCCTTGTGTTCTTCGGTTTCCGTAAGAGCCGCCGTTCCTCGCGAAGGTACATACATAACCTGTTTGCGGAGGGAGGGGAGGGGGAGGGGGGGGGAGGGGGGGGGAGCGAGGACTTCCGTGGAAATTAACTGTGTAATGTTGTGTGTGTGTGTGTGTGTGTGTGTGTGTGTGTGTGTGTGTGTGGTGTGTGTGTGTGTGTGTGTGTGTGTGTGTGTGTGTGTGTGTGTGTGAGAGAGAGAGAGAGAGAGAGAGTGAGAGAGAGAGAGAGAGAGAGAGAGAGAGAGAGAGAGAGAGAGAAGAATGAGTCTATCAGAGTAAACAGAAAGAGAATTTAGAGAGAGAGAGAGAGAGAGAGAGAGAGAGAGAGCAGAGCGCGAGGGAGAGAGAGAGAGAGGAGAGAGAGGGAGCTACAGAAGAAGAGACTCCCTGTAGGCCGCCGAGTGCTAGGGCGAAGGCGGGAAGCAAGGGCGGTCCTCGGCGGCGTTTGGAGGCAGCCAAAGGGCGAGTGTTGTTGGCGCGGGTCGGCCTCAGTTGCTGCCGTGCGGTGGCGTGCGGTGGCCTGGAGGTGATCACCCACACCCGCCAGTTGCCACACGTCACCACAAACACACTCCCGTCCTCGGCCGCCCTTATTAGCACGGGGCTTTTCGCCTTTCGTTTTTGGGGCCCGGCTTCGATTTTGGGGCGGCGAGCGGGGGGGAGGAGGCATGGATCGGCACGTTGGGGTTTGGTTTACCGGAGCCAGGGGCTTTGGGTGCACGTCCGGACGGCGGCCGGGGTTGGGAACCCAGTTTAAACTTCTTTTAGGCGGGTGAGCGACACTCCTCTCTTGTGTCTTCCCGTCCCGGCTGGGTCCACCGCCACCCGCTCTCCCCGCCTCCTTCCCTCCTTCCCCTCTCCCCCGGCCCGGCCCCTCCCCTCCTCCCCCTCTCGCTCACTCAGCTGCCGATCACCCCCACGCTTCCCCACCCACGCTGCTGCTCTCTCGGGCGAGCTCTCGTTCGCTCCTTCGGCCCGGGTGAAGGCTCCCTCGCGACCCGCCCGGCGCGCCGTTCAAAGGCAGAGGTTCGTCGGTCGCTCTCGCGGGGAGGGGCAGGGGGGAGGGAGGGGGCTCGAGGGATGTGGAAGGGAAGGAAGAAGGGAGAGGGAGGGAGGGAGAAGGGAGGGAGGCGAGGGGAAGGGGAGAGGGGAGTGAGGAGGCCATACTCGGGTCCCCGGCTGTCGCCTCGGGGACCCTCTGCATTCGCCATCTGGGAGAGGAAGAGAGGAGGGAAAGGTGGGGAGAGAGAAGGGTGAAGAGAGAGGGAGGGGAAGAGAGAAGGGTGGAAAGGGCGAGAAGGGGAGGGGGGAAGGGGGAGGGAGGCTCCACTGACACTGGCTCGGCGGCAGCCACCTTCACCTCGCACTTTCAGGGCTCTGCACTCTCGGCCTTGTTACTGCGCTACTCTCACCTGCAAATTAGGAAAGGCTGATTAGGCCTTCCATTTTCTTCTCCCACTCGCCTCGCTTCTGCATTCTCTCTCGCACTTTCTCGCCTTTCCATCTCTTTCTTCTTTCTCTTCTCTCTCTCTCTCTGTTTCTCCCTGCCTCTCCTTCCTCTCTCCTCTCTCGCGCTTACTTTTCTTCACCCCTGCCTTCCTCTCCTCTCCCTCCCCTCCTCTCCGCTCCGCTCCCTTTCTCCCCGTCCCCCCACCCCCTCCCCGCCCTTCTCTCCTTCCACCTCCCGCGCCAGTGTTGATAAACACGTGATTTATGTGGGGAGAGGTATGTTACAGTAAACACGGAGCTCCTTCGGGAGGCGGCGGCGGGGCCTTCGCGGCGAGAGCGTGGAAGTAGTCTTCCCGGATGTGACTTCAGCGAGAGATTAGAATGCAGCTGCAGAGGAGTTCCTCTCGGACTGCGCGGGCCTTAGTGTGTGTGTGTGCTGTGGGGTCCTTGTGTGACGCTGCCTCCGCCGCCTGCCGCTCAACCTTGGCGTTATTTTCTCTCTCTCTCTCTCTCTCTCTCTGTCGTTTGGCCGCACGATAGAGTAATGTAGAGGATTACTTTGTCTTTTTTTTAATGATATGGTGTTGAGGTCTTCTCTCCGATGGGAATATCGAGCGTTTTGGCGCCCCGTTCGCCGGAGATTAATTCTCGGCGTCGTGGCTGCGTGGGAGAGGGTGCGAGTGCGGTACATTATCAGCGAATTGGAAGAATTAATGAATGCCGAACGAGGTTTGGGGCGGCGGGAGGGGGAGGAAGGTGGGGAAGGGGAGAGGAGGGGCAGGGGGCGAGGGAGGGAGGGTGGAAAGAGTGGCAGAGCGCAGGAGGGGAGGGAGGGAGGTGGGAGGGTGAAGCAAAGGGCAGCCAGCGAGGGATTTCCAGTCGGGATTGCTATGGTAGGAATGGGGTCCCCCGTCCCTTGCCCCCGCCCCCCCTAGGACGCGCGCCGGCCCGCATTCACGCGCCAGACACTCGACCTCTCTCTGGGCCTACGGGAACGGCTTGCGTGTTTTGGGCGGCTGTGAAGCGCTGGAGCGAACGGTGCGGCAGGAGGGTGCGAATCCTCTTGCCGGAGGAAATGAGGGCGGCCGTGAGGTGTGTGCGAGTGAAGTGTTACTCCCGAGGCTGTTAATTAATCGTGGAAGAACGGAAGGGCAAGAAATAGGCCTAAAGTTCCGTGCGGGAAGCAGTGCGAGGGAATTCCCGGCCGGGCCTAGGCCTGCAGAGGTGGGCGGGCGCCGAGCGGGGAGTGGGAGGTGGTGCGGGCGTTGCGCCCTGCGGTGTTGGCAGTGCAGGCGATAAGATAATGCTTTGTTGTGTAGGGTTATCACTCACTTCACACCCTCGCTCGCACCTTGCACAGTTGCAGGCTCTGTGCGCGTGTGAGGCCACCTTGTGCCGCGGCGCGGGCCAGAACAGGTGACCGTCTGTTGGGAAGAGCGAGGCCCGAAGGCGGCGGGGCGGGCGGGGCGGGCGGGGCGGCGGGCGCTTGCGAGGATTTCGTTTCGAGTGGAGGCGGCCGCCCTTCCGAATCCGCTCGGCGCCCTCTTCCGGAGCGAGAGTTCCAGTGAACGCAAAACAGTGGGGGAGGTTGACGCTTGTTGGCGTACACCCACACACGCGCAGGCGCGCGCGCGCGCACACACACACACACACACACACACACACACACACACACACACACACACACACACACACACACACACACACACACACACACACACACACACACACACACACACACACACACACACACACACACACAAGGGAATGACGTGCAAAGCTCAATATCCTACGTACATACTCGTGCACAGAGGTGTATACTTTCGATCGCAGATGACCCATTATGCACCGCACCTGTCTCGACCAACCGACACTGCATTGTCATCCACATTCTCATTCAGTGTAGCCTAGTCCTGTCACCCATCCCCCCCCCCCCCGTGGCCTTCCTCGCCCGTGCACGAGTCCATCCTCTCTCATCACTCATTTTATTTATTCATTCATTTTATGGGGTGGATGTTAGGTTCTGTCCTCATATATTTGTGTTCCATTGATGTCCATGTTTCCCAGTGGTTGATATTTCCTCTTTAATTGTTTACTGTATATAGAGTTGTATTTTATATCTATAATTTAGAAATAAAGTAAAATCATATGTTATGACAGCTAGATGATCATGCAACGTATTTTTGCCTTTAAGGAAATTTAATTAGTAGATATTTCCTCAAGACGCCATATAAGCATGGATGTGTTGATGTCATGTTCAGTAATCATAGATATTTTGATTCCATGTACAGTAAGCATAGATGTCTTGAAAGCACATAGGCTTATGTATTTCTCCGAAGGACTCGAAAGACCCCCGACCCTAACGGCCTCCTTCTCTTGCAGATAGTCCGCACGCAATGGTCGAGCCGAGCATCCCGAGCCACATGGAGATGGCACCTCATGCATACACTTCCCCGGTTCTAGTGGCCCCCCGGGAGCCCCCCAGGTTCCCGGTATAGGGGGTTTGGCACCGGAAGAGCAAAAAGGAAAAGCCTTTCTTCCGCTTCTTCAGGACGCGAAGGAAGACTGCGTTGGAACGCGTTGCGGAGGAGAACGAGAAGCTCCGGTGCTGCCTATGCATCGTGTCGTGAAATCTAAGTGCATTACAGCAAATCATGTGATACTGTTGTGGCCTCCGCGTGAACAGGTCTCAAGGCTTATCATGACGCTATGTACTCAGTCAGTAGTCCATGGATAGATAGACTCGCAGTGTAAGCTTTTATAACTTTGCCTTAATGCAGACAGTGAAGAGGGTCACTTGAAAACTAGTGATTTAGTTACAGGGAAAAAAGAAGAGAACAAGCAGGGAACGAAACCAAAACAAACCTCCGATTTTTGTTCCCTTGGCACTTGCTCAGAGTGCCATACAGCCAGGAAGTGAAATTTAAGCGTGGGTCAGGAGAGGTGTTTTAAACTGGCTCTGTTTGTGCTGCTCCCGTCATTCCGCCACCGTGGCAGGGGTGGGCGGGGGCACGGCGTTGGCAGGGGGGGCGGCAGGCCCTGATAATATGGCCGACTTGCAGGACAGACAAGTTGTTTTTGATCGCCTCAAGCGTCGTCTTTCAAACTACCGGCATAATCACAACTCTGTCACTCAGCGCTACGATACTTCCATTGACCTGGTGTACTCGAGTGAGCAAAAGCAGACGTCGATTCTGAAACAAAGGCATATCGAGTCCAAAGCGAAGAAGTCCAATAAGAAGACTACCGATAATAAGAAGCAGGATAATTCCTCCTTACTAGCCACGATGGGGGTGAGTAATCTTTCGTGTCTCCGTCTTGTCATTTTGATTGAAAATTGTGGTTCGACATGATTCTAATTGTATATATATATTTTTTTACATTTGTAATTATATTCATGAAAAATAATTTTGCTTTAAATATGTACGTCATTGATGTAGAATCACATTATGTAAATAGCTTTTGGGAATGTTAATGAGGTAAACAATAGCCTTTGACCTGGCGCCTTTATCACTAAGCCCTTGCACTGATCCCTCCTCCCGTTGCAGCAATCGAAGATGCTCGCCCGCGGGCACGACCAGACCACGTCGTCTGGCGAGAGCCACGAGAACGAGCCAGCGGCCAAGAAGCAGCGGCTCAACAACGGGGCGCCTCCGCACGGCGGGCCCCACGGCGCCACGCACGCCGCCACCTCCCATGGAGGGCCGCCCCACGTGGGAGGGCCCCAGGCGAGCGGGGCCGCTGGAGACATCAACAATTTCCAGATGGTGCAGCAGCTGCCCAACATGAAGAAGACCAACTCGCCAGTCCCCGCGGGCGCAGGTCCGGCGGGCGCCACTACCTCGGCCTCGAACGGCCCCCCTGTAGAGGATGTCAAGAAGGAGCAGCAGGACCTGGACATTGCTCTCTTGGATGACATCGAAGACTTTAGTAACATTGGTGATATTGAAGACATGGGGATTAATTTTGACCAGTTTATGAGTGACCTAGATTTTGATAATATCAAACAGGAAAATAGTAACTCTGGTTTGTGTGACCTTGTGAAAGAGGAATCCGCGGAGAATTTGTTTGATAACGAGCCCTCTAGTGTAAGTAGTGATAGTGGTGTTGCGAATGGTAATGCTAGTGCCCAGAGTCCCCAGGTAACTATGAACAAGACCGGGGGGGCGTCCACGACCGCGGCCTCCCCCGTGTTCCCGCAGTACCCAGGAACTCCCCCAGTGTCTCACACCTCGACCCCACCTACCTCCTTCACCCCTACCACGTTCAACCCCACCTCCACCACCAGCACCTCTGGCTCCCCGACGCCATTCTCTGCCACCAGCAGCGTGCCAAAAATGCGTGTGACCATGAACATGGGTCAGTCCGACATGATTCCGGCCGCCCAGACCCTCAAGCAGATGGCCGAGCAGCACCAGATCAAAATGGTGTCGTCCGGACCGAACAATGTGCGGCCGAGTTTCCCGGAATACCAGTTGAATAACATGAACAATCCTGCAGCTGGAGGCATGATGATTCAGCAGGGTGGTATCAATAATCAAATGTATAATAGTAACATGAATCAAACAAATGCCATGTACAACAATCAAAATAGTGGTATGAGTGAAATGGAAATGAAGAAGCACCAGATGATGCAGCAGCAGATGGTGCACCACCAGCAGCAGCAACACACAGCAGCAGCAGCACACAACAACAGCAGCAACACAGCAACAACACAGCAACAGCAGCAACAACAGCAGCAACAGCAACAACAACAGCAGCAGCAAACACAGCAAGCAGCAGCAACAACACAACACAACAGCAGCAGCAACGCAGGCAGCAGCAGGCGCAGCAGCCCAGTCCAACCCCCAGCAGCAGACCACCACGCAGCAGCAAGCCCAAATGCCCGCGGGAATGGTGGGCGGCTACCAGAACCGAATGTCGCCCATGGGCTCGTACCCCAACACCTCCCAGCCTGGCACGCTCAACCCTCAACAGTACCAGATGCCGGGGGCGATAGGGGGCGTGAGAGGGCCCTTCCCAGGGGGTCCTCGGGGGCCGTCGCCCATCCCACCTGGCTCGCAACCAGGGGGGCCCTCGCCCATGTCTGCAGGTGGACAGGTAAGCATCAGTCTCTGCTCTTTGGGGTTTCCTTTCCTCCCCAGGGCTTGTTGCCAGTATGGCCAAAGGCATGTCCTTGGGGCCATACTCCTTCAGATTATTGTTCTTGATTTGAAAAAATCCTCCTCCTCCTTCTCCTCCTCATTATTATTGTCATTTTCATTATCATTACCATTGCCATTGTTGTAATCAATATTATAATCAATATCAATTTCATTTACTATTAGTAGTGTTCTAATTACTGTTATTCATATTTTGTTGGTTATAATTTTTATTAGCTATTACAATTGCTATTATAATGATCATCCTTATCATTGCTATTGTTATTCTGATACAGTTATAGTTATGATTGTTTTTCTAATTGCTATTGTGGTTGTAATTGTTATTATCAATCTGATTGTTGCATAAATTATTATTATTACTGTATATCATACTATTATTTTTTTTACAGTTATTTTTGAATTTTATTTTATTATTTTTTTTGCTTTTTTTGTTTTTCGTCATTTTGTTGTTATTGTTGTTATTCTGTTATAATTGTTGATGTGATATTGTTATTAGTATATTAATCATTATTATTGTTTTTGTTTTTGTTGTTATTGTAATTGTTCTTATTGATGTTGTTATTTTTGTTGTTATTTATAATATGGTTATTATTATGGTAATTATTGTTGTTGTTATTATTATTGTTATTGTATTTTTATATGTTGTTTTATTATTATTAGTATTACTGTTATTATTATTGTTATTATTTTGTTATTATTATTATATTATTTATTATTACTATTAATATTAATATTTTATTATTACTATTATTATTATTGCTATTATTATTATTGTTATTATTATTATTATTATTATTATTGTTATTTATTATTATATTATTATTATTGTTATTATTATTTTTTTTATCTCTGCAAGATGGCATTGTGTGATTATTTTGTATTAATCTTTATGTAATAATTTGTTTGTGTGTATATGGGGAATGCTTACCTTCACAAATGGGCATCTTGGTCCTTGAACAAACCTATTTCGTGCTAAAATAGACGTCTTACTGTATCATTTTTGAAATCATGTAAAAATTCAAAATATTTACCATCCGCCACGCGACTTTGGGTCAGGAGCGCTGCAAAAAGCCTGATGATTTTTTTTTTTTTTTTTTTTTTTCACCCATTGTTATTACTTAAATTGCTGGTGTTGTTGGTAGTATTTTTTGGTATTATTTTTTTGATTTGTATCATTGTTGATGTTATTATTATTATTGTTATTAATTATTGGTATTGTTGTTATTGTTGTTGTTGTTCATATTGTTGTTATTACTGTTATCATTGTTATCTGTTGCTGTAAATATCAGTATCATTATCTATGTTACTGATATTTTTATTGTTCCCATTTCAATATCATGTTCATCATCTTTGTTAATCATCGTCATTGTCATCTCCTCTCATTAGCTCATTTTCTTCTTACTCTTGTCCTTGCTTTTCTGTTATTATTGATATCAACACTATTCTCCTTTTGATTATTATTTTTTTGTGTGACGGATATTGAGGTAGTCATTGTTCTTGTTAGTAGTAATTATGATAAACTTTTTAATGAAGTTGCCGTTATTCTTATTACTTTTTTATAGTTTTAGTTGCTGGTATAGTTTTCTCCTGTTATCCTTTGTGTTGGAATTGGTTCTAGTTTTCTTATAATTGGAATACTCTTATTATCCGAATTATGATTTAAAATGTTACTAAGTTCATGAACGAGAGGAGGATGAATTTTATACAAACTGGTTTTATTTAACTTTGGATACTTTTGATGACATTGTCAGCTCTAACTTTGCTTTCTTTCTTCCTGCCTGTGCAACAGCTTGGAGGCCAGATGGGAGCAGAAGGCAAGATGAACAACGAAATGTTCTACCAGAGCCAGATGCCCGGGCAGTACGGGCAGCCTCCACGATACCCGACCCAGCAGCTGATTGGGCCCGGGGGCATGATCCGACATGTCAACCCGGCAGGCGGTCAGATGATGGGCCAGATGTCCCGGCCTCCCCCGCCTGAGTACAGACAAGTTGCGCTGATGCCCCAGCAGTCCATGATGGGTCAGCCAATGGGGCAGCCCATGAGTCAGATGGGCCAGGGCATGGGTCAGATGACTTACCCAGCCATGCGAGCGGGCATGAGACCAGGCATGGTGAGTGGCCCCATGGTCAACATGGGCTCGGGGCAGATGATAGGTAGCATGACGCAGCAGACGTTACCACCAAATATGCCCACCATGAAACCAGGTATGGTACCTCCCACCACGACTATGAACCCTTCTGTCACCATGGCCAATAGCACCATGACAGGTGCTTCTATGGCAACCATGACAGTGGGCACCATGTCTGCAAGTAACATGAACAGCAGCATGGGCCAGGGAGGCGCTGCAGGAACGATGGGCATGGTAACTCGCTCACCTATCACCAGCCAAGGAATGCTGCAGCGGCCGAGGCCTCCCAACGTCAACATTGGCCCTGGCCCTGGAGGACTCAACATCGGCACGCAGATGCCTCCATCACGGCCAGAGTGGCGGCAGATCATGATGCAGGGAAGCCAAGGCAACATGCAGATTGTGGGGCCCATGAGACCCGGCTATCCGCAGCAGCAGCCTCAGCAAGGTAAGGAATGATCATCCTCATTATTGCTGCCAGCTGATTGTATTTACGATGTAGTTACTTTCAGGGTATGAAATATTTGTATGATGATATTGTCATAGCATGTCATTTTATTAAGATTTATTTACTATTGATGACCTTTGCTAGATTACAAATCATGTATGTATTGAATACTAAGGAATAGTTTCCAACAGTTGCAGAAGATATTTGCATTCAAAGTAATTCAGAAAAGCTGATTTTTATGCACATAGTATACAAAATTTGGACATAGTATTTCAGAATAGAGTTTATAATAATGATGGGCTTGTGAAGAGTAAAAGCATCTGAATGGTTTCAGGCGGAATGATGAGCCAAGGCGGCCAGATGATGGGGATGCAGCGGCCGACTAATCAGATGATGAACATGATGGCCATGCAGCAAGGCCAGTCCATGCAAGGAGGGCCTGGTATGCAGGGAGGTCCTGGCATGCAACCAGGACCGGGAATGCAACCTGGACCTGGGATGCAGACCGGACCGGGAATGCAACAAGGGCCTGGCATGCAACCCGGAATGCAAGGAGGACCGGGAATGCAGGCTGGCCCTGGGATGCAAGGTGCCCCCGGAATGCAGGCTGGGCCAGGGATGCAACCGGGCATGCAAGGAGGCCCTGGTATGCAAGGTGGCCCGGGTATGCAGGGTGGCCCGGGCATGCAAGGAGGTCCAAGAATGCAAGCAAACATGGTTGCAATGAGTCAGCAGACCCAGGTAAGCACATCTTGCAATGTTGATTATCAAGTAGAAAATATAATTTAGTTCAACACAGTGGTTGGGTTTGGTAGGCAGCTGGTTCACATCACCATTGGTCGAGTAGACATACACACTGGCTTAGGTTTCGGGTTCATATTTCACATTGTGTCTGTAGAATTCCTTAAGAGAAAACATTTGACAGGTCTAATTCAAGAAGAGTAACTCATTCATACTGAAGTGCAGGTCCTTTTGAATCTGCAGATTGCTCATGTTGTTTTGAATTTTTAATTGAGTTAATTGTTGTGCTATACTGAGCACTTTGATTTTTTTTTAGTTTTGAGACTTGTCACAATGTTTTGAAATGCTTGTTTATCCAGTGAAAATTAATTCTTTGATATTGTAGACAACTAATAATAGGTCAGTTACCAGTACTGTGTAGTTTTAGTAGAATAGTGTGACTTATTAACAGGGCCTTAGGGATCTGCCATGATAAGTTCTTTACTTTTCTGCTAGAGAGATCATTGTACAAAATACTGAATATGTAGGTATGACCACTACCATACTTATATTTATGCAAGTATTCAGTGTCAGAATTGAAAGAACATGGCATCACAAGGCTTTATTTTGGCTTTGTGTATTATAGTGCACATACCCTGTGCGGAAAAATTGCAACGTATCCCCACCGAATTCATCTCTCCCTTTGGGAGAGATGGAGAGATGGGCCAGTGCAGAAATGCTTCCCTTCTGTGATACGGTACCTTCATAGTGTATGTCACCATGATGGCAAGGCTTAGCTTTGGTTCATCCATTGCAGTAGTTGGACATGAGAAATAAAGAACTTATCTTGATGTTACAGGCAGAATCAGCTAAGGTACGGCAGCCATCTCTTTCAAGTGTCAAAAAGGTAACCTTGCAGTTGATAATAACCTTAAAGTGAGATAGGACGAACATGAATTATTGCTCAGCTAGAGCTTGATGTAAATGGAATGCTAATAGTGTCATGAATATCCCTGCAAATGAGAGACATTGCAGATTGCTGGAAATATCAGGTGATGTTTCCTGCAACACTGTAGTTGTTCAATTATTTATAAGACAAAAGGATTTAAAACAGTTGAACCAAAGGCTTGAGGTGGTGGTCCCTTGTAGTAAGAAACAGCATTTCTTTGATGAGAAGATACATAGCATAAGGGATGTGTGTACGGACATGCACATGTATGTGTGCATGCTCACACACATGCTTTCAGATACAGACAGACTTGCATGTGCAGACACACAAGTGCATGCCCACCTATGCTCTGGTGCATATGTTTATACACACACATGCACACATGCAAATACACATACACATATTTATAGTTACAATTAGATTAACATTGACATATACACAGTGCTAATTTCTTTAGTCTAAGTATCCTTCAAGTCAGTTTCAAGCAAAACTGGCTAAATTGTAAAAGTTTCCCTGTGGTCCAAGGTTTGGTATTGTTGACGTAAGGGAAGGTGACATCAAAGGGTGGGAAGGCTAATACATTATGCAACTCTTTAATGTCAACTGTTCTGATTCCTCAACCAAGTTCAGGGATTCTGGCAGCATTGCTAATTTTCTCTCTCTCTGTTTCAGGGTCGGATGGGGATGCAGATGAGTCAGGCCGGAGGAATGGGAGGTGCCCAAGTTACCTCTCAGTATCCAGGCCAGCAGGGGCAGATGACCACCATGGGTCAGATGCCCACCGGCCCCAACCAGATGATGGGCAACCCAGCGGCCCAGGGCAGGAACCCAGCAGCTATGTCGGGCATGGCTGGCTCTCGAAGTCCAGCTGCTATGGCTCAGATGAGTGGAACAGGCCATCCGATGAGTCCTGCAAACCGAGGGCAGATGGGAGGAGCTAGTCCTGTAAACATGGGCCAGATGAGTGGTCCAGGCCAGGCCCCCAGTCCAGCCAACATGGGTGGCATGGCCCATCCACGATCTCCTGCCACAATGGGCCAGATGCACCCACGTAGTCCGGCTACCATGGGCCAGGGTGGACCTTCGAGACCACTCAGCAACCCTGGAATGGGTCAGGGTGGGCCCACGCGACCCCTTAGCAATCCAGGCATGGGTCAGCAACAAGGGCCGACGTCCCAAGCTGCCATGGGCGCAGCAGCCATGGGAGTGCAGCCGCCTGGAAGCACAGCTGGTGCCATGAACCGTGGATCCCCTGGAGGAATGAACCAAAACCCCAGCGGTCCCCCCGGCTCCAGACCAGGCCAGAGCCCCATGAGCCAGGGACAGTCGATTCAGGCTCCAGGGAACGGACCGCAGGCTAATATGAACAGAGTCAAAAGTGGCCCTGCAGCAGTGAACAGTGGACCTAATGCACCTCAAACTTCAGTGGCCAGTCAAAGGTCAAACAGTGATGGTAATAACAGTGTACGGACATCACAACCTTCAACCCCCAACCCGCCCACCTCTAGCAGTAATGCATCAGCCGCAGACTTTGAATTTGACTTTGGTGATTTTGCATCCTTGATAACTGACTAAGGTGGCTCTGGGGCTGGGTCTGGTGACTCGTGTCACTGCTGTATATATGAAGCATTCCTGTAGAAGTGTTATATAGTGTACAGTCTTAATTATTCTTATTCTTATTTCATTATTATTGATAAGATATTATTATTATTATTATAATTATTATCATTCATTATTATTATTCATTATTATCATTCATTATTATTATCATTATTATTATTATTACTAGATAACCATTTTTTATGATAATTATTATGATTACTATTATTGAATGGTCCAAGAATTGAGAGAAAACAAGTGTAATGTAGTGTAATGAAAGGACTTGCCATATCACTTAGTGTTACTGCCAAGTATTAAACCCAAGACCACAAGTGCGGCCCAGTGTTGACAGCGGTGGAAGTGCTACATTCCATGATCCCTACAGCAGGGCAAAGCTAAAGTCTACACCCTCAGTATGCGGCATCCTATGAGTCCTAATCCAACCTGCCATGCTAAGCCAACCTGGGTAAATCAGCTGAGGAACAAAAGTATTCAGCCTTCTTCCAGTTTCATTGAATTTGTGTCAAGAATTGAGTGGGCTTGGATCAGGAGCCAAGATGCCTAGGTTGGTGTTCTTGTTAATGATGGCAATCCTACTTGTAAAGGACCTTCATCTTCCTTGGAAAAGATGGAAAGTGGGTTCAAAAGAGCAGCCGCCAGAGGCTTGACAAATCTGGGTTAATCATATTCCTCTCCATGACATGGGCCTTGGAGTTCATTGAAATCCAACTAGATGCAGTGTTTTGTTCAGATTTGATATTCATGGTTAGTAAGTCCTCTGTGAGCATCTATGTTGATTTTTATCAGACAAAGTATCAGTGCAAATGTTGAAAGAAGTGTGCATATGTTAAAAAAGTATATAGGCTTGAACTGCAAGGTCCTATTTGTGCCAAGTATGTGTACAAAACTAATGATTTGTGACATAAACAAGTTGTATTGTTTAACAAAGACACTGTCCTCTGTTGTCAACTGAGAGTGTTGGTTCACTATGCCCCAGCAAGATGAATAGCAATGTACTCAATGTAGGTGATTTTGTAGACTTTTCCTACTATTGTAAATTAGGATCACAAAGAACACCCTTTTTTCTATCAAGTAGACTTTCCACAACCATCACTTCCATTTCCTCTCAGTATGTCTCCTCCCTTCCTCCACTACCACAACCTCCCCTTACTGCCGCCACGTGTCCCACAATGCAGTTCAGGCCTTTGGGAGAGATCCGCCACTGTCAGTAGTGAGTAAATTAATTCGTCCAGAGGAAATCAGTTATGTACGTGTTGATGGGTTGACTTTGAATATTTACATTAAAATAACGATATTTTGGAATATCACCTAGACCTCCCAAATCCTGATTTCACTGCTAACAATTGAAGTGCAATGGTAAGATACCGAAGCTAAGCATGCCTTATTTTCCACTTGCACACATCTATCTCCCTAGCACCAAAGGCAATGGATGTGGTAGCTGCGGCTCTTGTGGGTTGTGCTTGGACAGTGATTAGACACCAGTATTATCTTTACTAAACTCCAGCACACACTGCACTTGTTGATGCTTATCCCATACCAATTTGCCCAAAACCATTAGTCTATGCAGTATTAGTACCATTGTTTATTTTGTCATAGTTAAAAAAGGATTTTTACCCTGAAGATTTTTTACAATTGAGTATCATCCCAAAGTATTTACAAGATATGGAGATTTAGGCATGAAAAAGCTTCAATTTAACACTGGAAAGAAACACAAAACTAAACTATTTTTATATGTGACTTGTGCAGCATAGGACAAGAAAGACATTGTGCTGAGTCTGCATTATTGCAACATATTCCTGTCATAGAACTTCTCTCTGTTGGGCTTTGTTGTGCTGCTTGGTTATTATGTACAGCATTATCTTCACCCAGTGATTCTCAGGTATTTTTGCAGTGATACAACCCTCCAACTTATACATTATCCCCATAAATGATTATATATTTATTTCCTTCTGTAAACATTTCATACGCTCATTATTCTTTGATCAGCTGCAACGTCTCTTCAGTAGTTGTCATTATATTCTGGAGCCTATTCAGGGATATGACATTCTTCAGGTGCATTTCCTTCCATATACTTTTTTCTCTTGGAGTCGCACAACAAAACCAACAGAGGGGAAAGAGAAGCACGGGCCCTCTGCTGCAGTCCTGCAACGAGAATCACACCCTGCAGATGTATACCATATTGACCACAAGGACAGGAAAAAGAATGTATACTCTGAAAATGGAATTCTCTATATATATAACATTATATTCTTGTCAGAGTATTTGATGCTGGTCGTTCATGGGCGTGCTTCTCACAGTTGTCTGGGTGGCAGTACGGCAACGTGAACACAGGTCCTTCCTTGAGTGCGTGCTACACGTTCGCCAGTGTACAAACTTGTAGGTAATAGTCCATCATATAAAGGAATGAAGGGGAGGTACTGACTTGTCCATTGGCATCATTTTCTTATTTGAAATCATGACATTTAAGAACCAACAAATAAAAGAGGAAAAGAAAAAAAAAAAAAAGTTTTAGGAAATGTTATAGGCAAGACCATTCTTCCATATCATTTGTAGGATCTCCAGAAAGTATCGTCTATTAAGAGGAAAATATGACTTCATGTAAGGGAATGATTTCTGGCCAGATCAGTAGTTGCCCATAAACGTGCCTATGAAGTCAGTGAAAACATTGGTTGTGTAGCAAGTATCTTTTCCAGAATACATATTTTCTGAATGTTTGTTAAAGTTCAAAGTGTACAAATTAAGCCCTATTTTAAGTGGCAGTGTGTTTTCACTGATTTTAGGTACATCAGGTTTTATAATGCAAATTAGAAGTTTGTACATAAGTGACACAATCATAAATTATGAGACTTTGGTAGTTTGTGTCACCAACATTTGTTTTCCAAATTTCGTAGTGGAAGTGAGCCTTACAAACCAACTACCCAAGGCTCATAATCGGTGATACTATCACATCTTTTACTGAAGATGGGCATCAAAGCATTTGAAAATACTTCTTCTTCTCGACACTTTTTTACAAATTATTTTCGTTTACTGATATAGAATAAAAGATAGAAAAATTGATTATTTTTAAATTTTTTACAAAACTATTTTAGCATGGTAGTATTGATTTGGACTTTCGTAACCCTTGTTCTCTCCTAGAAAAAGATCATGAAGACAAAATGAATTCGAGTGACACAGTTTGAATAAGATTTAATAAGCTCATTTAAATGAAATTAAAATGACACTTTCTACCTAAGGTGCAGCATGGCTTTTGCTATTGCATATTTAATTTTAATATCATATACAGGTTTCTTTAAATCTTCTTTGTATTTTCTTACTGTACTTATTTTATCATAGTTTTTATAAATATACATCAAAGGTGTGTTATTTTGTATAAGCATGTGTCTGCAACATAGTTATCATAGTCATCATTCAGAATAGTGAGATTCCAGAAGAGTCTGGGTTTATGTTTGTGAAATTCAATTTTCCTCTCCTTCCACTCTGTACCTGTCATCTCGTTTCCACCAGTCATGCTTTGATTGCCCGGAGGAGGTTAATATCTGGAGTTCAGATAGAAATTTTGTCACCTGGGGTTGCCTGTGGTCAGATTTCTCACTCCCCGTGATTCCCTATGTGATCAAAGGTAAAACTGGAGAGCGCATTAGATTTGTCTGAACTACAGGTGTACTCGAATCAGATTCTTCTCGTGACCCCCAGACAGTGCCGCACCGCCACCACGACAGTGTCTTGCATCACCTCGCATCGTTTCATCGACTGCACCCCAGCCACCTTTGAAATCTTGAAGCAGAAAGGCTGTGCTTATTGTCAGGACTTGAGAACAGTATTCCTTTTTAATGTATTTATATATATCTATATATATATCTCTCTCACCCTTCTGGCTGTACTTGGTGCATTTTAATATTATTCCTTGTAAATATTTTACAGACAAGAGGCTGTTTTTATGCAAGCTACTGATTGTTCTGACTATCTCTACCATCACCTGTGATACCTGTGGTATTGAAGGTAATGAAAACCCAAGTCTGCCACACTGGGAATGATACCATTTTATTATTTTCTTTCTATTATCATCATTACTATTGTGTTAATTTTCCTAAGTTTAGCAGCCCAAGTGACAAACAAGAAACAAAGGTCGCTGAGGTGTTTGTACCACAATAATTGTGGTACAACATTTAGTTGAGGAGGCGGCTCTGGTAAACTCTGTGAGCACATTCCTCGATCCCGCCGTGTCTTGTTGGCTGGTAACTGGCATAGTGTAAGATATGAGGATTGCCGATACAGCAGATGGAAGCTCAAGGGGCACAGAAAATGAGCATTTCGTGAAGCAGAAACTTGCTCTAGAGATGCAGTGAATGACTGTATTCTAGGGCATAGGTTTAGGGGGAGAGCTGTAGCAAGAACACCACCAAGCCAAGGACGAAGAAACAGGAAGGTGGGTGCGGCACACTGACCCCCTGGCCACACCTGTGACCAGATGATCTCAGCCGACGTACTTAGGTCACAAAGTCATTTGCTTTGTATCATGTCATCCACCGGCTGGCATGCCATCCTTGCAGATATGTACATATTGTTGTCATTTCAAATGCAATAAAATAGTTTCGGTCATTCATGCCTGTCAATTACCTGCTTATTTATAAAACCTTTGTAGAGGTGTTGAAACAGTAACTATATGAAATACATTTATTACTATATGTTCATATATACATATTGTTTTTCATTATACAAAAGGGTTATATATAAAGTATTATATAAGTAACCAATAATGATAAAAAACAAACAAACTAATGACAAACAACTGCTGGAAATTATTTACAAAACTTATCCATCTAATCTTGGATTGAACTCGGCAAAAATTCTAATCAATAACATTAACTAGACCATTTTACAGTATGTACTTCATATACAACTCTTTTTTATTAAAAAAAGACAGCACAAATGGGGAGAACATAAAAACCAAGCAAAATATGAAAAAAAAAAAGAAACTAACACCATTTTAGTGCTTTTCTAACGCCAATTCCAGCAACTCGTTCATAGAAGAAAGAACTGTACGAGGGTCATCCACAAGCCCTGCCAACACCATGCCATTGTTGAAAAGCTGAAAAGAAATGACAAGATTATTACATCTTTAATGTTATGGAACATACAGTACCATATGATCCATATCACATACAAAAGACAGTCACTCATATTTTTTATAATAAAAAATAAAGTTATGGAAAATGTTTTATACCGACGTAAAAATAATATTAAAAAAAGTGTTCAAGGAAAATATGTCTACCAATGTAAAAACAAAAGGCAATGATAATAGCTGTACCCATATTTTTTTTCTCTGAAATAAACACCTTTTGTTTAACTGCCTACAGAGTTCCCAGGACTCGCATCTGAACTTCATCTTTCCATTTGATTTATCAGATTTATCTTGCCTCATAATCACCTGCATTACAAAAAGGAACTAACCTGCTTTGCTGTCAATTCCGCCAGTCGGGGATTGGTCTCGCGCAAAGTGTTCAACTTGACTATTACTGGGTGGCTGTAAATGGAGAGGTAGAAGTTAATGAATGCTTGAAGTATCTTGATATTTAATGAACTGGAGGGCATGTGTAATATGAAAGTATAAGTAATTTAGTGCTTGGGATATTTAATGAACTGAATATGTACATGTATTATATTAAAGTACAAATAATTTACAGTTTATATATATTCTATCTATAATGTTGAGCATGGAAAAGGGAGGTTACTTTATCATAAACAATGTGTGTCTAGTACCACAACCAAAACTTTGCATTTAGTGTAGCTCAAATAAAAGCATAAGTATTTATAAAAGCAAATACACCATTACAAAAAATTAAAAATATGTTAATTACCTCCTCATAATTAAGTATCGATTAACTAAATATCTATGAACTATGTCTTAAATAGCTTATCAATTAACATTATTAATGAATTGTCTCCATTACTGACCTACAACATATCCATGTCTAAATCTAAAATACAAAAAGTGAAAAAAAAGGTTCACATATTTACTTAGGATTAATCTCCAACTGAGGCTGCAAGAGAGAGTATCTAGCTTCCTCTGAGACTTGAGTGAACTGTGTCTTCACAAAGTGTCTGGCGGCCCCCATCTCCTCCACCGTTACCACGCAAGGATGAGTCTCTAAGCGGGGCGTGGCCTTAACTGTCCAGCAACGGCCAGCTAGCACCGTCTTCAGCCAGTTCATCAATTCATTTGCCTCAGTACGACGCAGACCGCCTTCAGCTGAAACAGGATATCAATTTTGTTCTTCTAGTAGAGAAGAATGTTCAGACACACATAATTAAAAATTATTTTTTTTTAGACTTGCAATGCCCTCTTACACATAGACACAAACAAAGATGGCTTAAAAAAACATGGGGAAAAATCCTTATTAAACAATATATAATTAAACAGAAAAAAATAACTTGGTATAAAAAAGAAAAGATTTAGAAATGTGGGGAAAACATAATTACATTTTTTTCTATCAATATTCCCTCCCCTTACAATATAAACAGTAAATAACTAAAAATAAACAAAAAAATAAACAAATAAAAAGATCTATTAAACAAACAAATTTAAAATATATAAATATCCACTTAACACTGAAGTTCTATAAATAATCATGACCAAAATAATGGTACAACTCAGGAGTTACTCAAACATAAACACTAAACCAAGAAAAGAAAAGAAAGAGAAGAAAAAGAAAAAATAAATAAAATAAAAATAACAGACAACCACCCACCATTGTCAAAGTTCACATCCTCCTTGTCCTGCCTCAATTCCTTCTCGACTGACACAATTTTCCGAGAACTAAACTGCTGTAGCTGCATCAAAACCACCTCATCGTAGGATTCGTAGCAGAAGAGGACTTCTACGTTGCGTTTCTGATGGGAATGAACTGTTTAATGAATTTGCTTTTAAGAGTTTGCTACTGCTTCCAAGAAAAGAAAAGAAAGAAAAAAAGCATGTCACTTTTAACTGTCTACCATGAACAGAGGTTGATAACTATGTTAGTGAGAAGTGGATTAATTTTTAAGCTCCATATATGGAGTCCCATACAGACCTGCTTGCTGTTTGCTCAATTTTTTATACAGGGTTTAAAGCATAGAAGCAACTTGAGAGAAAAAAAAAAAAGAAAAGAAAAAAGCAGTGATGAGAAGTTTACAAAGTGTCAGGAGGCAAAGGGGAGAGAATGTGATGTGACACCCAACCAGTCCTCAAGAATCCTAAATTTGTTGGGGAAGGTCTAATAAAAATGCTGTCAAGTAGCAAACAATAAGAAAGTCATAACTGTTACACAAGAATGCACAAATGTTCTTTTCTAACAATCTTTCTCAAATTTGGCTTTTAGTATCTGAGGATTCATTTTTTGCCCAATGCCCTTTGCCTGCACAATTCCCTATCAATACTGAGCATGGGTTTTGCAATAAATGAATAAATAATCTTAATAACTCTTCTCTCAGGATCCAAAAATATCATAATATGATTAACAAGGCTATTGCATCCATCGCTAGACTAAGTGACTTTTTTCCTGCAACAGCTAATGGTAACATCCACAACTAGAATGTCCTGTCCTTCAACTAGATCCATGTACTCCTGAGAAGTAATGCACATTGTTGAGTCGTTGGAAGTTGCCATCCTTGGCATTATGCTTTCTCTCTCTCACTTGGGAATTATGCTTTCTCTGTGCGAGTTATTACAAGAACATTCAGATGGACTGTGATCTGTCACTTGGAAGATTGCTGATTCCAGGGAAGACACTATTTTGCTCAGGTTCCTATTCCTGCCATCTGTGACCAGGGGTGCACAGTGTATTAAACAAAACTGAATATTACAAAAATATTAAAAAGTGACACAAATAACAAAACATTACTTATTGTTACTATTATTACACAAAGGTGATTATTTAATTTGATGACAAAGTGGTTATTAATCTTTCTAGGAATAATCTTTAGCCATCTTCATGTTAAGATATATAAAAACCTTCAAAAATGATAAGCAAAAAACACAGAAAAAGAGATAATAAAACTGCAAAAGGAGAGACAAGGAGGCTTGACACTGCACACAAGTGTTTATGTGGGACCTACAATCAAACACCAGGGAGCATCACCACTCAAGTAAACATAAAGCCCAGATTTTGGGCCACGTGCAGGCAGTGAGGCACCTGCAGTCAATGGGTTAAAGTTATCCAAAAGATTTTTTGGAGATAACTAATCAGATGATAGAAAATTATGTTTCTGTGCATCATGCAAAATGCTAGAGAAATCATATAAAAAAAGTATTTAGAAAATAATAATAATAAAACTGCAATTAGAAAAAAGAATAATCTGAATGAAAGATAATTGTACAAGGAAAATTAATCAATTTCTTTTAATTTAGCAGGAAAACTTTTCACATAGGAATCTGCAATTTGGTCTACCACAAAGATCTCTCTTGGGTTCTATATCATTCTTGATCTTTAAAATGATTATTTTATCAATGCCTAACATGTCTGCTGAGGATACTATTCTATGAACAAAATCATGATACCGTCCCTAACCAAAATATCACTGAAATAAACCGTCTTGTCAATATGGAACTTTTTTTTCCAAGGAATTCTAATAACCCATGTATGTCCATAACAACAAATGATCAATATATTTCTTCAGCTAGCTATTATTCCCTTCTGGAAGTAATTTTGAAAATAAAAATAACATGGAAATATTAAGAAACATAATCCAGGCTTCTCTAGGCAACATATAAAATCAGCTAGAAAATGACTGGTCACACATTTCATATTTCTGCATAAACTACATGAATATTTGAAAATATGCTAACAAACTACATTCCACAGTGTTTGTAATTTGATACTGATCAATATTACATCTTCAATAACACCATGTAATAGCTAGAATATGACTGATCACACATTTGTAGCTATCTACATACAAATATTATGATTTTCATGGCTTTTCTGTCTTTGCTACAGCCTTTATAATGCAGCCACAAGGTCTCCATATACAGAAAATAGCTGTACTACATGGGAACACCTTACTCTAAGCAAATGGTAGCATTATCAGCAGAACACCTCAATGCTTTGGTGTACAGGAGATCGCAAATACTTCACCAATCATTTTACAAGCCTCTCTACCACAGTCATTAGGCTTAAAAGCGACTAAGTTTGCCTTCACGAGACTGTGAATGCTGAATGTAAACTGATCAAAACCTCATTACTAGCTGCTGCAGCATAGGTGCTTTGCTGCTTGCAGGTGTCCCAAAATTCAGGGATTAGGCTTAAACGATTGGCGACTCTCCTGGGTGTGTAGCTTGTAAGCTGGGTACGCTCGAACACCTATGTGCCATATCAATACTCCATGCCTTCCTTTTGCAATATTATTATCCCTTTTCTGTATAAATGTTATATCTTGGACATTAAAAAAAAATTTGGTTGATGACTTCTACCATGTTTCATCCAGTATGTATATACACCCACTTAAGAATGAAAATTCCTGCATTTTGTCTTTTGAGGGTTAAGCACCATAAACCAATGGCCATAGGGTTTTATACTGTCTACTATAGACTTTGGCGATGGTTCCAAAAGTACACAGCTACT